ATCCACTTTGGTCTTTTCCTTCTTTCTTGTCTTCTCAATGACCTTTTGCTTTCTTCCTCTATGAAATTCTTGATGTAGTTCTACAACTCTTCTGGTCTTCAGTAATTAGTGTCTAATGCATCTGTTCTTGAGATGATCTCTAAATTTAGGTGGGATATGTTCAAGGTCATATTTTGACTCTCATCGACTTTAAAATTTTTTCTTCAGCTTCAGCCTGAACTTACATGTAAGTCATTTACATGTCTGTTCCACAATCTGCCCCTAGCCTTGTTTTGGCTGATGATATAGAGTTTTCCTACCATTTTTTCCCCACAGAATTAATGGTACTGAAGGAAGAAGTCCAAGGTGCACTAAAGGCATTGGCAAAGAACAAAGCTCTAAGAATTGATAGAATACAAATAGAAAATTTTCAACAAATTGATACAGCATTGGAGGCACTCACTCATCTTTTGTTAGGAAATTTGGAAGACAGCTACCTGGCCAACTGATTGGAAGAGAACTATATTTGTGTCTATTACAAAGAAAGGTGACTACAATGGAATGTGGAAATCATTGGACAATATCATTAATATCACACACAAGTAAAATTCTAAAGATAATTCAAAAGCAGTTACCAACAGTACACTGACAGGGAACTACCAGAGGTTCAAGCCTGATTCAAAAGAGGATGCGGAATGAGGGATATCATTTCTGATGTTAGATGGATCTTGTCTGAAAGCACAGAATACCAGAAAGATGGTTACCTATGCTTTGTTGACTATGCAAAGGCTTTCAACTGTGTGGATCATGACAAACTATGTATAACATTGTGAGGAATGAGTATTCCAGAACACTTAATTGTGCTCATGAGGAACCTGTACATAGACCAAGGGGCAGTCATTCTAAAGAACAAGGGGACACTGAATGATTTAAAATCAGGAAAGGTGTGTGCCAGGGTTGTATTCAGCAGGTCCAACATTTGTAGGAGATCTTCACGTGTCTTGGCATCAATCTTCCTCTGGCTCTAGGACCTTCTTAGTACAATGACTCCAGGTTCAAAGGACATACTCCCCTGCTGGCTCTTCTTTCTAGATGGCAGTAGGTCCCTGACTCTCTGCTCACTTCTCTCTCTTTGTTTATCTCTTGTAAGATAAATAGTGTTGCATGCCACACCCTTGGGAAACTCCCATTAGATTAGGGTCATGATGGGATAAAGGGTAGTGTGATGGTGGTGGTTATGTGCCACAGAGTTGGTTTTGACTCACAGCAACCCTGTGTTGGGTTCCTGAGGCTATAAATCTTTACAGGAGCAGGAAGCCTTGGAGTGGTTGGTAGATTCGAACTGCTGATCTTGCATTTAGCAACCCAGTGAGTAACCCACCAGGCTACCAGAGCTCCTTAAAGGGTCGTGTATCCCACCCTTAATCCTTCTATTGATGTATCCCATCAGATCACATCATGGAGAATCATCACATAACGGCTGCATAACATTAATGCATAATTACCAAACCACTGACAATCAGGCCCAGGCAAGCTGACACACATTTTGGGGAGAAAATTCAATCCATTAAACCTCTGCGGAGAAAAGACCTGGTGATTTGCTTCTGTAAAGATTGTTGTTGCTAAGTGTCATTGAGACAGTTCCTACTCATAGTGCCCCTGTATAGGGTTTACAAGGAACAGCTGGTGATTTTGAACTTGCTGACTTTGCAGTCCGGAATTGATGCTACAACACTACACAAGGACTCCGGTCTAGGAAGCCCTTATGTTGTTGTTAAGTGCTATCTAGTCAGTTCCAACTAAACTCTGTATAGGGTTTCTGAGGAGTGGCTGGTGGGTTTGAATCACAAACTTTGTGGTTAGCAGTCCAATTCTTATCCTTCAGTGCTACACTAGGACTGCATAGGAAAGCTTATGGGTAGTTCTACTCTGTAACATTGGGTGTGGTGCTGTGGGGAAATGCACTGGACCTCAAGGTCGGTTTGAACCACAGGATCGGCAGTTCAAATTCACCAGCCGCTCCTTGCAAACACTGTACATGGTCACTATGAGTTGGAACCAATGTGACTGCACTTAACAACCCCAACACATTGGGTTGCTGTGAGTGGGAATTGACTGGACCACACACAACAACAACAACCACCTTAAAAAAGCAGAAAGCTGTCAGAGCTACAACCTACTTGAAATTGGGTTGCTATAGGAGAGCTGAGAGAAGGGAAATGCATAAGGTTTTCAGTTTGCTTCATACCATCTATCTGACCTTAGAGACTTGATTTCACTTTTTAAAAATTATTCTTTTACAACTTTTTCTTCAGAATAGGAGTCTTGGTAGTGTAGTGGTTAAGTACTCAGCAGCTAATCAAAAGGTGGTTGGAGAGGAAGGTGTGGCTGTCTGCTTCTTTAAAGATTTGCAACTTTGGGAACCTTATGAAGGCAGTTCTACCCTCTTGTATGTTGTTGTTGTTAAGTGCCATCAAGTTGGTTCTGACTCATAGTGACCTTGTTGTACAGGGTTTCCAAGGAACAGCTGGTGGGTTTGAACCACTGACCTTTGGGTTTAAACCGACTTTGGGGTCCAGTGCTTACCCTACTGCACCACGCCAGGACCAGGACCTGTCCTACAAGTTTTCTATAAATCTGATCTGAATTCCAGTCAATGGGTTTAGGTCTTCAGAATTACTTGCCAAGGACTGTTGTGTCCTTTGCAACTTAAATGTCTTTCTCTTTATCGTACGATCTAGGAGCAAACGACTGTCCTGTTTATACCATCATTTTCAGTATATACCATACATACTCTTGAAAGACTCTACTTTGGTCTCTATGTATTCTGAAATTTGTTAAAGAACCTTTTGTTGTGTTTAGCATATTTGTAATATCCACTTGACTTTGGCCTTTAGCTTCTTTAAGAATACCTTTAGTGGGAAACCAGGGAAGTAGCTGGTGTGACGCACAGTGTTACGCATTAGCTATCTTTCAGAATGACCCTGAAGGATGGGATATCTTATCCTTGTTTTAGAATTATGGAAATGCTGATCTTCTAACAGAATAATTTATCCAAGGTCTCAAAACTCATAAATAGTGGGTAGACCTTGGATTTCAACACTGCTATTTCTGACTTCAAAGCCCATGCTCCTTTTACCAGAACATTATTTGGTATTAATGCTATTAACCCTGATAAAATCTATTTTTAAATTCATCCTTTTGGTTTTTGTAAAATATTAAAAAAAAACTCAACAAACACTGTTAATCAAAAAAGCAGATTAAGTCTCACAGATTCCATGTACTCAGCTAACATTTGACAACTGAGGCCTAGGATTATTACTTGCCATCTCCAGCATTGTTTATTATTATAACCAGAATGTCACAGACATAATTAGTCTGTTATGTATCATAATTATTGTCATTCTGATTCTCTTAAATTTCCCTTCTAACTCTTTGACAATGTCCTAATTTGAACTGCAAGATGACGACTTCTCCTGTTTTCATTTAAAGGGGAAGCGTGGAACAGCACGAAGTGGTTTAGCTATAACTACAAGCGAACCTTGTAGTCAGACCATCTGTCTTTTAACAATTTTATGGTTCCAGCGAGACAGCTCTTGACTCTAACAAGTCAGCAAGGTATGTAAGACTATGGGCTCAAACATAACAATTGTGAAGATGGTGCTTTGTTCGGTTGTGCACAGGATCGCAATGAATTGGAAATAACAAGGTGGCGCCTAACAGCATAAGGCTTTGGGATCACAGTAAAACCGTAAGGCGCTTAGCCCCGCCCCCTCAAACACCCACCCTCCGGGAGGCGTGGAATCGAACGGGAGGAGGAGCTGCACTTGGGTCTCTATCGGTTATAGATCGCCCGGACCAAGCGCTGAGTCCTCTGAGTGCCAAGCCCAGCAAGACGAGCGCGCAGGCCCACTTCTCCAGACCGCAGCCTAGCGCGCCCCCGCCTCGGGCTCAGGAGTCGGCCGGCTAGCCCTTGTACAGGCCTCCTGCATAGCATCCGGCAGTTCCGGCTATGACTGCCACGGGGGGCGCCCGGCTCCTTCGTGCCGCTTCGGTGGCCGTCGGCGGCGCGGCCCGCCGGTGGCGGCTCCTCGCGGTGCCCCGTGCGGGAGTCGGGGAACTCCCAGGGAGCCGGGGGCCCGGGAGAAGCGCGGAGCCGGGCCTGGGCCGCGGCGGCGGCGCAGCCTCGAGCCGGCCACTGAGTGTGTCCGCGCAGGTGCGGAGCAGGTGAGCCGCGGGGCCGGGGCGCGCGGGGGTCCCTTGCGGGGTTTTGGTCGCACTCCCTCCGTTGGATGTCACCTTCGATTGGCCTTTCCTGGTGTCGGGTACTACCCAGGACAGCCCGCCTCTCGCCCCGCCTTTTCCGTCTGGCTGCTTAGTACTGCGGCTGCTTCCTTTCAATCACATCGCCAAGTTCGCTTCCGGAACGACCGAGAATCCGGGGTTTCTCTAGGTCAGCGTCCTCAAGCTAGTGAGCCTTTGGCTTTCCTCTGTTCTACCCGTGGTGATGTTGTTATGTAACAATCAGTCGATTCCGACTCTTGTTAAAGTGCCATCGAGTCGGTTTTGAGGAGCGGCTGGTGGGTTTGAACCGCCGACCTTGCATATGGTAGTCTAATGATTACCATACAGCGCTACACTGGGCTCCTCCACACTTGTTGAAGGGATCTTTGGACCCAGCAGTGACCTTCATTAAGAAGCTCCCTAGACTGCCCTGGAGCATTACAGTCATGGCAAGCCTTTCTTGTTCTTGCGATTTTCTGCCTTTACTTGTATTTAAGAAACCGGACACAGGGTCGTTGGAGTCCTGGTGTGGTGCTGTGGGTTAATGCGCCAGACTTCAAAGCTGTTTGAACTGCAAGGTCGGCGGTTCAAGTTCACCAGCCGTTCCTTGGAAATCCTGTACAGGGTCACTATGGGTTGGAATCCACTCGATGGCACTTAACAACAACAACATACAGAGTCGTGTTATGAGTCCATGGCAGTGTTTTGTTTTGTAATTTTGGTCCCCCATCCTCACCCCCGAATTCTTGGTCAGGAGATCCATTTAGAATACATTGACTTAATTTTCTAGTCTTCCCCATAAGCGCTCCTAGTTTGTATAGGATTAAAAACATCTGTATTGGTTTTGGCAAGCTAGAGTTTTAAACTGGGCTTTGGCACTTATTGCCCAACTTGCCTAACTTTGGCACTTATTGCCCAACTTGCCTAACTTGTAAAGCTTGTAGGTTAGGCCCCTGGAATCTGTCCTGACCTATAGAAACCTTAGTTTCTTGCAAAACAATAACAATAGTACAGACGTCACAGTGTTATTTGAATACACTACAAATACAATACAAAATGCTTAGTCATGTGTGTGGCAAAATACCTGTTAGCATCAGCAGAGCTCCATATGCCCACAATGTTAGCCTTTTTCATTTTTAATTAAATGTTAAATGAGATGTGTAAAATTTCCTCTGAAATAAATTATATATTGAGCATATTTATTTTTCAAAGGAAAAGTCCCATTATATATACTGGGGGAAAAAATTATCCATAAATTCAGTTATAACAACCTGGTAGAGACTTACACTGGGCAGTTCTTTGACTTTTGCTGCAATGTAGCAGGAAGCAAGAACTGGGAGGAAGATGTATGTTGTCGTTCTAGTTTTTAATTGATTTATTCAATCTTATTATTTGTTGTTGTTAAGTGCTGTCGAGTTGGTTCTGACTCATAGCAACCCTGGATAGGGTTTCCAATGAGTAGCTAGTGAGCTTGAACCGCTGACCTTGTGGTTCAAACCGACTTTGCAGTGCCACACCAGGACTTCTATTATTTAGAGGGTGCTCAATTAATTCGGTTGCAAGAACTGTGAGGAAGATAGTGGAGAAAGCAAACTAGACTGATTTGTCCCTATGTGGTGACATAGGAAGAACACTTGAGCATGAGCTAGGCCTATACTGAGTCGCTCTAAGTTGGAACTAACTTGACAGTACTTAACATTTTCCCTGCAGGGGTCTCTGGGTGGTGCAAATGGTTAGGCACTCAACTACTAACCTGAAAGGTTGGCATTTCTAACCCACCCTGAGGCTCCTCTGAAGAGGACTTGTTGATCTGCTTCTGAAAGGTCTGAACCTTGGAAGCTTTATGGAGTGCAGGTCTACTCGACATGACATGGGTTCCACACCATTAGTCAGATTCCACTCAACAGCAATGGGTATTTCTCTTGTACTTTCCTACCTTTGACCCAGTTCTTATGTCGATGTCTATGGATGTATTTTTGAAAAGCTGTGTATAAATTGGGACACACATTAAGGAACATGTAAATGATTTTGTAAATGGGAATTGCCTCCCTCAGCTTTATTTTGAATTTGGATATATCAAATCATCTTAAAGGGGAACACCTTTTCTCTAATCCCTCATGAGCATGCTTCCCCACTTTTTGTCAGTTTCTACTGATGATCTCTACTTCATATTCACAAACTTCCTTAGAGCCACAAGTAGACTTTCTACCTCTTACCTCTGAGAACTATGTTGTAAACCACTTGTAGTGATTTAAAGTAATTAAAGTTACATAAAATTAAAGATTCAATTTCCCAGTTGCTGTAGCCAATATCAGGTATTCATTAACTACATGTGGCTAGTTGCTACTGTGTTGTCTAGTATAGGTGTATAGAACATTTCTGCTATTGCAGATAACCTGATAGGACAGCACAGTGCTATGAGCTATTGTTGTCTGACTTTGAATTTTAACATTTAGATGCTCAGTGATTGAGAGTCAAAAATACTACTTATACTACAAATTACCCACAATATTTAAAATTTTGTCAATTAGATTGCCAAAGGCTGTGTTATTTCATTATGAGCTGCTCCGTAGAAACCCAATACAGGTTGCTATGAGTAAGAACCAACTAGACAACAACAGGAGGTAGACAGACTATGTAAATGAATAAAATGTTCATATTAAGGAGTTGGCAAAACTAGGACTAGAACTCAAAGAGCTTTTGTGTGTGTGTGTGTTTTTCTTTCACACCAAAGGTGTTGTATGCTGTCAGTCGGTTCTGACTCATAGTGACCATGTATAGGGTGTCCAAAGAATGGCTTGTGGGCTTGAACCACTGACCTCGTGGTTAGCAGTCCAGTGCTTATCCTACAGTGCCACACCAGGACTCCACATATGTATTAGTCAGTTTCTTAATGCAGAAGCATAAGAACAAAGGAAGAAACCAGACGTTTTTGAATACATGTTCAATACATGTTCATGATCAGAGATCATGGTGTTCTCAGAAACCCTGTACAAGATCACTGTGAGTTGGAACCGACTCGATGGCACACAGCACAGTGTATATAAAAGATGGGATTCTTCTGGTTGTCCTGCCTGTAGGACATTTGTTGTCAGGCATTTGTTGGTATCAAATCACTAGACTTCTCTGCTAGGCTCAGACCTCTATTTTCACTTGGTTTCTGGTGGGAATTCTTACCTGATTTTCCCATTATTAAGCATATTTAAACTTAGATTCATTTCCATCGTACCCAAAGTTTCTGCTCCTTTACTAAACGTAGATTATACTGTACTACTAACTGTCACCTATTTGAGCTGGAAATCTCATTATTTCATTTTCTCTCAACCTTGTATAGATGGACACCAAACCTTTTCATTCTATCTCCTGAATATCTCTTATATCAATTATCTTGATCATCTTTTTTTTTTTTTTCCATTTTTCAGTTCACGCTTTTAATAACCTCTAACATCTCTGTTCTGGTATGGTGCTGAAGGTTAATGCATGAGACTGCAAAGTTGCTTGAACTGCAAGCTTGGCAGTTCAAAGTCACCAGCTCCTCCTTAGAAACCCTGTACAGGGTTGCTATGAGTCAGAACCTACTCGATGGCACTTAACAGTGGTGTCTGCCTCTGGGGCATCTTGATTCTCAGCCATTCTGCTTTAAAAAAATGACAGTTGTCTGGTTGAAAATCATGAGTCATATTTGGGAATACTCATTTAAAAAATATTTTTCTTACAAAAAGTTGGAGAGTGTAGGCCCTTTTGAGGGGCATATATATACACATACTCTTAATAGCTTTTAATTGATAGAATCTTTTTTTCAGCTTTGGAAATTCAGAGGGTGTATGTAATAGGGGCTTTAGTTTCCTCATTGGTGAAAAGAGATAATTTGATAATTTTTTAGATATTTGATAGCTCTCAAGTTTCTTAATTTAAAATTTTACTTATTGTAAACTAAAGTTTTCTTTGATGGGCTATTACCATCTGCTGGCAGTGGTGGAAATTACAGTGAATTATTTTCAGCTGAGGTTCATTGTTCCAGTGGGGTGACAGTTAAACTGACCAATTGTAGTTGTGAGTTCCGTTGAGTCAGTTCTGATGCAGCAAGGACCCTGTACAGGGTTTCCAAGGTTGTACATCTTTGTGGGAGCTGAAAGCCTCATCTTTCTCCCACGTAGAGACTGGTGAACTTGAACTGATGACCCACTTTGTGGTTGGCAGTACAGTGCTTATCATATGGATCTACCACACTCCCAAAGTGGCTAATAGTAGAGATCAAGATCTAGTTGCTGGTATAATTTATCTCAAGTTGTGGTGTGATGTTTGTGAGAAGGAAAAGAAATTTATTTACATGAGCTAGCTGATAAAAGCCGACTGAATGCCATTGAGTCAATTCTGACTCATCAGGACCTTGCAAGAATTGGAACCGACTCCAAGGCACGTAACCACCACCACCACAGGGTGTGACGCTATAAGATGCACGGAAGTGCTAACCATAAAGTTGGTGGTTCCAACCCACAAGCCGCGCCTTGGAAACCCTATAGAGGGTCCCCATGAGTCAGAACCCACTTGAAAGCACGTAACAACAACAATTGTTATACAATTTATACAACTGTTGTTAAGTGCCGTCGAGTCAGTTGTGACCCTATATAGGGTTTCCAAGCAGCAGCTGATGAGCTTGAACCATTGTCCTTGCAGTTCAAACTGACTTGGCAATCCAACACATTAACCCACAGCAACAGTACGGTTTCCAAAACTGTAAATCTTTTTTATGTGAGCAGTGTGCCTCATCTTTCTCCCTAGGAGAAGCTGGTGGGTTGGAACCATCAACCTTGTGGTTAGCAGCTCAGTGTTTAACCACTTCACCAGCTGATAGCTAATATAGCATCTACTAATAAAACATGTGTGGCACTGTGGGTTGATGCGCTGGATGGCAAAGTTGGTTTGAACCACATGGTCTCGCAGTTCAAGCTCGTCAGCCAGCCACTCCTTGAAAACCCTACATAGGGTCACTATGGGTTGGAACCAACTCAACAGCACTTAACAACAATAGCAACAATAAAACACGTAAGGGAGGTATTTTGTTTATTTGTCTTTCTACAGATTAAAACATGCAAATGGAAAACCTTTTCTCATCTTTTCTATTTTAGGGTACACACTGAGATGCGGAATAAAACGAAATGCCCACATACTCAGAAAACTCTCCAACCACTCCCTGTCTGCAGTAATGCCCTGTCTAACAACTGCTCTATTGCCCTATTGGTAGCAGAATGATAAGCCCACCACAGACCCTGATCTTCCCTCTTAGGGACATATTCTGAGAGGCCTGGTATTTCAGAGAGCTGTGTGAGTGCAAAGTAGATTTCCTAAGCGATTGGGATTGTTAAATGTTCTCATATGACCAGTGTACCACTGATAAGACAAATACTCCAAACCACCAGGTGGACTGGGGAGTGATGTAGTTGCCATTTCCTAGAAAGGGTTTGTTGTTGTTGTTAAGTGCTGTATCGTCGGTTCTGACCCCTAGTGATCCTGTATAGGGTTTCTGAGGAGAGGCTGGTGAGCTTGAACTGCCAACCTTGAGGTTTAAACTGACTTTTCAGTCCAGCTCATTAACCCACAGTGCCACACCAGGATTCCTATAAAGGGATGTTGTTGTTGTTAAGTGCCGTCGAGTCGGTTCCGACCCATAGCGACCCTGTACAGGGTTTCTGAGGGTGTAAATCTTTACGGGAGTAGAAAGCCTCATGTTTCTCCCGCGGAGCTGCTGGTAGTTTCGAACCGCTGACCTTAAGGTTCGCAGCCCAATTCGTAACCACTACGCTACCAGAGCTATTTAATAGGTGGGTATATATATATATATATATGCCTTTGATTTGTGGTGTTGTCTGCCCAAATAAACTTTGGAAAGAAACAGTTAATACTGTAAAGGGTATGTCCATATTGAGTTTGGAGAAGGATGCATACAGGGATATTAAAGTGTTGGGACAAAGGCCTGTTAGAAGCTTCTAGGAGATGTTCCGGCAAAGGAAAAGTCGCCATCTGTTGAGTTCATGGTGAAGGTTTGGTGGGACTGGAAGGGAGAGGAGTCAGAGATTTTAGAGAGATGTGTATTTATGAAACATTGTAAACAAATGAAAACCAACTTATTTCCTCACTGAATAAATATGACCATAGCATATCGTTGTTAAAATTATGGGTCATAAGGTACTGAAAACAAAACACCATTTATATTTCCTTTGAGAACGACGGTGGTTCTGTATATGTTTTCTACATCCTAACTCTCTCATATGTCCCAGACAAGAAAATAGTTCATAAAGAAAATAAGTCCTCAAAAAATATGCCTGCTATGAACATTGTGGTCTTTTAAGATCTCTGTATATGGGATCAAACTGACAACAGCAACTCCCAAAATTGGATAGGAACTTTAGAGGGTAATGAGTTGACATTAATGAAGCAGGAACAACTCGGGAAAGTTTGCTGAAAATGGTTACGTAACTTGAAGATTGTAAGTGATGTCATTGCACATGTAGAAACTGTTGAGTAAATATTCTGAACAAAGGGGGAAAATATCTACACACACTAGAAAACCAAAAGGCACAAACAAAAAAAACCCAACATGCCATTTCTTTGACCTTTCAGATTCTTAAGAACAAATTATTTTAAATTATACTGAAATTACTAAAAACACTAAAGGACTGCTTTCTCTTCCAGCTCAGATGATAAAGTAACAGTCCACTTTGTAAACCGTGACGGTGAAACATTAACAAGCAAAGGAAAAGTTGGTGACTCACTACTGGATGTTGTGGTTGAAAATAATCTAGATATTGATGGGTTTGGTGAGTATAGAACATTCCTTAAAATTTAAAAGTGAAATTACTGATGAGGTCTCAACTTTTTTTTCCTCAGGATGGGGTAAGGGGACAGAGGTCAGGATATGAACTTAAACCATGCTCAGTAAAATGTTAAAATTCAGTATATTTTAGTGTTGAATCCTAATTTATAAAGCATAATAGGGTTAACACTGTGTTCCTGTTGCCAAAAACCTGTTGCTTGGTTGCCTTTGGTTCACCTGTGTGAAGAAAAGTTAGGGGTTAGGAGGTAGAGTTGAAAAGTAGATACCAGGTTTGAAATAACAAATGCCTATCACGGAGGGGAGGAGCTCTGGTAGCGTAGTGGTTATGAATCGGGCTGCTAATCTCACGGTCAGCAGTTCGAAACTATCAGCTGCTATGCGGAAGAACGATGAGGCGTTTTGCTCCCGTAAAGATTTACAGACTCAGAAACCCTATGCAGGGTCGCTATGAATCAGAACTGACTCCATGGCACATAACAACATCACAGAGGGATAATTAAGTAGTTTTAATTTAATCCTGAAGGTCAGTTTACCTTCCTAGAGCGTTTTCTTAAGGTCTTTTTTTTACCTCTTAGGAGAAATGGAAGTCTTTTATTGAAAAAGTCTTTATTTCTAGACTTTTCTCCTCCCATAGTCCTTCACCATACATGCAGTTCCAGCAGCTGCTACCGTGAGTTCCTCGGACATACCTTGCGTATCACCTGTCAGCTTTGCTCAAGTACTACCTCCCTCCAGAACAGTGGTTCTCAAACAGGGGTCCCCAGACCAGCAGCAGTCCTCTGAGGAACGTAGATTATCAGAGCTCTCCCTAGATCTATGGAGTCAGTAACTGAGTAGGATCCCAGCAGTGTGTGCTTTAACAAGCTCTCAGTGAGATTTTGATGTGTGCTACCAGGATGCATCAAATGCCGGCCTCGACTAATGGCCAGGGAGCAGGTCTGACTAGACTTCTTTTAAGGCTCAGTGTCCAGTTGCATGTCTGAGAGCTATTTGCAGATCTCCTTTCTTCAGTTTCCCATGATAGAGTCAACCTCCCTCTCCATGTTAATCCTGAGCATGTCCTCCCCCTTCTTAGAGTATGGACACAGAGTAGACTATCCAGAGTTGGCATTCAGGTATATTTTCTGAATTTCTAAATCTATCATTTTTATTTGTAAGTTTCAGAATAATTGTAACAACAACCAATTGATTGCATACTGCATTCCAGCATATGTTATCTTTTGTAACAACTCTGAGAAGCAGAATTTTTCTTTTCTTTTTTTTTTTTTTTTAACCTTCATTTTATAAATGAAGAAGCTAAGGCTCAGGGACATTCATTTGCCTTGGGTCATGTATACATCTGGAGTCCTGGTGTGGTGTGCTGTAGGATAAGCACTGAACTGCTAACTGCAAGGTCAGCAGTTGAAACCCACCAGCTGCTCCCGCATCCTATACAGGATCGCTGTGAATGAGAGCCAACTTGATGGTATATAACATCAACATAGATCTAGAAGTGAGCGGCCTAAGTAAAACTTAAGTCTCTAACTCCAATCTTTATCCTTTATGCCATTTGCACTAAGAAATGTCTTTCCTTTGAGAACATCTGTTCTAGCAGTTAGGTGATGAAATAATTGATAAGTCCCACTCACTTAAAGGAGTTTTGTAATCCAGTGTAGTGATTCTTGGCTGGGATTGTGTTTCAGAATCACTCTGCAGCACTTTTAGAAGTATAGACATCTGTGCTGCATCCCAGATAGTGTAGGGAGAGAAGAAAGGAAGTTGGACAGGTGTGTTTCTAAAAAGCTCCACAAGATTCAGATACATGCTGTGGTTAAAGTCTACTAATTTAGTGAAAGAAATTACTGCTAAATCGATAAATTTTGTAAATTTATCAATAGTATATATTTGATAAATTTTGTAAATAATTGGTATTCCCTATTATTAGTTCATATCAGCCACTTTTTCTTAACGTCTGTAAGAAATCCCTTTCTTACCCCTTTTAAAAAAATGGCGGTGAAATATACATAACAGAACATTTGCCATTTCTACCATTTTTACATGTAAATTTCAGTAACTCAGCTGTACTTTAAGTTAAATTGGACACAGTTAACTTGGTGTACTGTCTTGCTGGCCATATTTGTGTTTAAAATGAACATAGCAGCAGATAACAAGTTTTCTTTGACAAATGAAAAGTTAGTACACAACACAGTAATTGAGAGTAGACTTTGCAATCAGACACTTTATGGTTTATTAGCCAATACTGTCATTCAGTAGCCATGTGAGCAAGCAACTTAACATCTTTAACCTCAGTTTCCTCATCTATAAAATGGGTTATAATACTTCTGGCTCTGTAGGATTGATAGTATTCAGGGAAAGCACAGAATTAAAGTGCTTAGCCCAGTGCCTGCCTTGGTAAGAACAAGAAGATTTCTGCTGTCTTCACTTAGCCTCCTGTCATTCCTTTCTCCTCAGTACCACGTTACCTTGAACACTGACAGCCTCACAACTATAGTCGTCATGAAAATCAGTTGTCTTGCAGCCACTGGAGGGGACAGGCTAGCTTTGAGCTTCTCAAAAAGTCCCACACCCAAAAGAACATGGTCACTGTTTGAGAATTCTTATTGGACCTGACTCGAGTTAGCTCTGTGAGAAAAACTCTATCCTCAGTTTTTCTAAAATAATTGACTGTTTGTGTAATATTGTAGCTGCCTAAAGCTGCTCTGCTGTTGTTGTTGTTGTTGTTAAGTGCCATTGAGTTGGTTCCGACCCATAGCGACCCTGTATAGGGTTTCTGAGGAGATAGAACCTCCGACCTCACAGTCAAATGTGTATCCAATAGTGCTACACCAGGACTCTGAAGCTGCTCTAGTTGTAGCAAATAAGAGCCTTCCCAAAAATTTAAAAGGAAAATCTTGGAAAAGAGATTCCCTTAGTGTGCTTTGAACTGCTTTTGGCATGCTCTTGGGGGTCTGGAAGATCATGGACATGTTCAGAACAGTGTGCATGTCCAGGAGAGACTTGAGAGAGGATGCCAGTCTCTCATCTCTGGCTGACCTTGAGGCCCTGAGCCAAGGCTAAGCAAGAAATGAAGGCTAAGACAGACAGGGGAACTGCTTGAATGTTGCAGGCCTGCCTCATCACACACATACACACCTAACCCATCAGCAGAAGTCAGAAGCTTTGTTGGCTCAAAACCTGTAAGTAAATCTTTGCCCAATCATTATTAGCTGACCATGAAGCTGACTTCACAGACTACACACACCACAGTGAATGTAGATGTTAGAGAATTAGTCCCGGAAAGTCACTGGAGAGGCCGCTGGAGAGGGAAATGGTCACTGTAACAGCCGGGAGATCACCCTTACACCCCCGAGCTCAACAGACAGGGTGCTGAATCACATTTCAAGTTGCCACATTGTATTATTTAAAACTTCTACTTTTCAAGAACAAAAAAATTTGAGACATGCAAAGAAACAAAATGTATGGCGTATATTCAAGGAAAAAGGCAGTCAATAGAAACTGGGCCCCTGAGGTGGCCAGATGTGGACTTACTAGACAACGATGTTAAATCGGCTAAAAAGTTCAAAGAACTAAAGGAAGCCGTAAGTAGATGTTCTTTGGCATTCCTGGCCATGCGGTGGTGCCACAATCTATCATGCATTGACAGTTTTATGTTGGGGCAGACTTGTTTGCAGCAGTGCTACAGGAATCATGAGATACGATGGGGCCACTGTGTGTGTAATACCAATAGAGTATTGCATTGTAAGAGCCAAAGAGTACATGTTTTGCATACTAATCAAGTAGGTTGTTCTACTTAGTTTTACATGGGCATTTATATGGGCTTTTATACTAATTTCCTTTGGATTTTGGTGTGCCTCTGTTAATAAGTTAACATGTTTTCACTTTTGATTGGTATACTTAAGGAGATTAGAGAAACCACTTTCTTCCATGACATATGAAAATCATGAACAATCCTGAAAGTATGTCTACTGTTAGTAGATACTTTAGTCCTTTAGCCAGGTGGCATGTTTGTGCAGAGCTCCCAGTAGTCATCTTTGTAGAGGAGACTGGGAAAGAGGCATCTTCTCTCAACAGTGCTCAGAAGTAGCCTCTTATCAGCAGAAAGGTTGCCGTGATGTAAAGATAGGGGTCATCAGCGTATAACAGGCCAGAGCTGTCTAAGAGAACATTAGTCAAGCCAGGGGAAATGCGCAGTTTGAAAGCTTGTTGAACTGGCAATGGGAGTGACCTTCACCAGCAGTGGAAGTGAGGTAACCCAGTTCAGATTGAAGCAACATGTCCGTAGTTATGTGGGAAGCAAACAATACATGCTTTTATAGTGGTGATTAGACAGGCTGAGGGGTGTTGAGTCTTATTTTGGAACAATAGGGTTTATGAGAGCTTTGTAAGGGCCAGAGTGAAACTAGCTAGGGAGGGCAGAGTCTACTGAGGTTTCCACTAGTTTGGCAGATACCTTATAAGGAGAACACAAAGTTAAGAGAAAGGCTGGTGTGGGAATTGGGCATATCATTCCTAGTTTGCATACGGTTCACAGTGACAGTATTTAATATGAATGTAGCAGCAAGTAGCAATTTTAATGACTCTAGGGCTTTCATAAATGAGGAACTTTTGTAAGATATGTAAGCATGAGAGAAGAAAAAAACAAAAACCTAGAGATCCCTTTCTTTCTGAACGATTGGCTTTTTCTTATTTACCATTCATGAGTTTCCTTAGTTAATAATTTTAATATATTTCTATATGATACGTTGTTGTTAAGTGCTGTCGAGTCGGTTCCGACCCACGGCAACCCCTGTATAGGGTTTTTGAGGAGCAACTGGTGAGTTTGAACTGCCAGCCTTGTGATTCAAACCAACTTTGCTGTCCAGTACATTCACCCAAGTGCTACACCAGGGCTCCTTGTACAATATAAACATATGCAAATATACATGGTTATGTGATATATGTAAAGCTTCGAGCACTAAAGTATGCTATCCATCTGACACTGCT